GTTAAGTTGTATTTACAACACTGTTCCAGAACAGTTCAACTGTTTCCTGATCCTCGTAGAGTAGACTACAATACCGGCTGTTCTGACTCACAGACTGTAAGTTCTCATATTTAAAGAATTTGCCACTGACGATTCAAACGCGAGTTTTGAGCAGTGTAGAGTTAGATTCTATAGCCTTCGTGTGGAGCAAGTATCCTCCTGTGTTCTCACCTCAAACGGGTAGAGGTGCTGAGAGGCCCCGGTTTAGTGTCGGCTTGCTAAAACTGCTCCAGAGTGTCCGTACTGTAAGCCCTGTCGAGCTCCTCCGTCCCCTCGGCAGCCAGACGTGGCAGAACGTCCGGCGCCAGGCCCTCACTAGCTGAATCTGTGACAACTGGTAGAGGGTTGAACCACACCACATAACCACATAAACCACATGTGGTTGAACCTTAAACCACATAAACACATTTCATTAAACCAAATACACAAAATAATGTTATTTTTAGCAACATCATATGACCCCTTTAAATGATAATCTGCCTATGTAATTATAATTTGTGTGAAAATGAATAAAAGTTGTTGGTGTTTTAATGCTTCTAGTGTTCATTTCAGCTGGAAACTGCAGTGAATTGTATGTATAGGTACATTTTTGCAGTTTTGTATAAGTTGTGTTTTTCCAGTGAGACTGGGTTGAATTTAACACAAACATTTAGTGGGCCCATTAAAATAATTCAATTAAAAATAAACTCATTAAATAAATTCAATTACATATACTGTATATGTAATAAGTAAACATAAATTGATAATAATAATAATAATAATAATAATAAGTAACTTAAGGCTGGAATACACTACACAACTTTTAAAATCTTAAAAGATTTTAAAATGCTAGGCATCATACACTTAACGACTTGTAAATAGTCACAGAGAAAAACTGGCCATCTTACACTCAACGACTGAGGATCATACACTAACTGACTTTAAAACTGTTCCGATCACAACAAACTCATGCAGAAAGTGCGACTTGTTGCTAGGAGACGCATGACAAATGAATACAATATGTGTTCTAAAATAAGCTCAAAATATCAAACATGTCTGATACCCTCCGACTGGATGGATTCATAGCCTGAATCTAGAAAATATGAGTCTGTGACCATCATACACTATGTGATTTTCTATGAAATCTGTCAACTCAAATCTGCAGACTGGCTCTAACTTTCGGCAACTAGTGTCAACTTCTCCAGACTGTAAATTGGGCAAATATCTGAGCAATCTGTAGTGTATTCCAGCCTTTAGACAAGCATTACAGAACATCATATAGGACTGCACTGGAGATTTTTGTGAACAGTTAATTTTTTTCTATAAAAACTGTCTGGATATTATTCTTACTTGGGTTGGAATAATGTGTGATGTTGCAAAACATTTGTTTCTGCCATTTTTCATAAAAAAAATGTTAAGTGAACATAATTAACAATTACATTAATGCAAATCAGAATCAATGCAAATATCAGAGTAAGTAAACAGAACTGTTTTTCACATATCTACAATGCATTCACTGTGAACTCTAGTTACTACTGAACTCTAGTTGCTACTGTGAACAATTTACGAGCCCCAAAAAAATACCTCTTGATCCTTTCACTACGATTGCTATATTTACTTGATGTCTATTCATATTTTTCCGCCACAATGTAATAGCTTAGAATTCTTTTCATTTCTTTATCAGCAATATTTAATTAATTGCGATTAATTTGATGAATTAATCAACATACCATGTAGTGTGACTTTGGCTCTCCTTTGCAATGCGTTTCCGCTACAGTGAGAGCAAGAATGATGGGGAGGAAAGAGGAGCAGAGCAAAGTAGGGAGATCTTGGGTAAGGGTAAGGATCCTGACAGCCCCTGGGGCAGCTGGGAAATACCCAAAGAGTGGGCAGTAAGAGCAAGTGGTCTGACATGGATAACCTTCCCCTTCTACTTACCTTGCCCATCGGCACTTCAGGAATAAAACTGCAACCTTTACATACTGCCACAATTTCTCTAAATATAGGAATAGTTCACTAAAAAAAGAGAAAATTATTTCTAAGAAGCCTGTATTTACAGTATAATGCATTAAAGCACCATCGAAGTAGCCTATTCAACTCGTGAGCTATATTCCAACATTTCTTAAGCTATATGATAGACCTGTGTGATGGAAGTACTCAAATTTATAACTCAAATCACAAGCGCCCTTGTTGTTTTTGAACATTTTAGTTAATCAGCGCGCTGTATTCAGGTCAGGTGACAAGGCTACTTTCACTTTGAAAAGACGTGCTAGCTGAGAGGAGTTTCGTCAAAGCTGACTAAAAGTGATCGAGGATGGATAATTTCAACGAACTTGCTGAACCTGTGATATCTTCTTCAGGGCGAAAAAGGAAAGTAAAAGCTGAAAGGTTTTCACAGAACATGGCAAAAACAGCGCGTTACAATAGTGAGGGAAAAGCTCTGTGTATTGCGTGTAATCACATCCATACAGTTTATGATCACAACAACAACAACGTTTGTCAGGCATCTACATTGTCGTCTGAGGAGATTACAAAGATTAAACCAGAGTTTTTTAAACTCTAAAACATGAAATGTGGAGTTATCTGCTTTTGCCAAAAAACGACTGTTGGAGTTACCTGCTTTTACTATAAAACAAACTTTTAATATGTTTATAGTTCTCTAAATCATTATATTGCTTTGAATTATATGTTTTGACTCCCACAATTAAAATTACAGAGCTTTGATCATAAAACTAAGCATTTAAATATAATCTTAAAGATATTTTAGTATTTTACTATAGATTGACAACTGTCGATCTAACTGATATTTATATGCATTTTATGTAAGTAGTAATTTACTTTTGACCCAATACATGTTTTTGCTCAATTTGGGCCGCCGAATAAAATTGAGCTGTTTTTTCTCCTCAAGCTGAGCTTTATATTCTCTTATGTCATACTATATGAGCCAAAAAGTCAGATGTATCAAATATGATGAAAAAATTTTTTTTGTTGTTTTTTTCTGAATTTTATCTTTGAATAAAAAATAAAAAATCTTTGAATTTTAAGGTTTTGTCTAAAATTTCAATAAACTGTTCGATTTGTTCATTATTTTTTTTAATTATTATTATTATTATTCATATATCTGGGTTTACAGAGATAATTGATGTACTATGATAAAACAGATCTCTGTTTTGGTTCTCAATACTGATTGGATGAACCACATTTGAAGCTTTTGTAAATACAGCCCATGTGCCAATAACTTGGTCAATTCTGTTGAATTCTATATTAATGAACCAGGTTTCATCAGCAGCACTCTCTAAATAGCATACAGTCAGGCTAACAAACTACTTTACTTTGCATAACATTTGCATTAATTGTTAACATATTCAGTTTCATTTAGTTATATTAACACAGTAAGCTACTTAAAGCTGTGCACTACAGTTTACTCATCATTGCTTCACATTTTTTAAAGCATGGCCTCGAGTGCATTTAGTATTCAAAATATTAAAAACCATTAGGACATTAATTTAACCCCAACACCTTTTTCCAACACTTTTTTGGTTTGTTACAGAACCATGCCGGCATGAGGTTAAGAGTGTGTGAGGTGTGAACACACACTCATAAACAAATACTTGCTTTTGAGGGTACTTACAACATTCAGCATGGTGCTGCTGCTCTCTGCTCTCTCAGCTAACTCTAGTCTCAGCTGAGCTATAGTGTCCTCTGAACCCTGTACCTGAACAGATGAGAAACAAAGTTTGTTCAGTATGTCTCTCTAAAGGACAAAGGACAAACAGAGAGCAATTTAAAGATTGTGAGTCAACATCAACAACCACAGCTAAACTTGAGAACTTGAGTCAGAATGCAAGATAAATGCAAGCACTGTCAATGTTCTAATATACAGATGTTTTGCTGTGGTATTATAATAATAATAATAATAACCCTTCAATATTCTCATCTCCACAGTTTATTTGCACATTGCATCACTGTGAGTACTAGAGAAAGCCTGCTGTAGTTTTAACAAGTGTAATGCCAGTGACTTCTTCAATCAAAACCTGACATGCCAATCCTTCATCCAGTCATCTGGGCTGAAGGAGAACATTGAGCTGATTGAACGGTTTGCTCTACAGCTTCATCCCATGCAGTGATTCCGTTCTCACACTGAACCTCCTAAAAAGTCAACGAGATGCTCAGCACACTAAATTAGTTGCTCTCTCACTCACATGGAAGGGGAGGGGAATATATAAAGAACATTTATAGAGCTGAGAAAAGTTGATGTAAAAATACATGTGCAAGTATAAGCATGATGGACAATTACAAATATATATTCTTATTTTTTTATTTGGTGATACATATATATTATACAGCAATAAAATAATAAACATATATAATAAAATAATAAAAGTTGGATTTTTGCGTTTTTCATATATAGCTCACACTGCCATTTTATCAAATTTGAACTTCAAAAGTCTACAAAAGTCAATTTTTGATAATAATAAAATAAATATTTCTTGAACAACAAATCAGCATATTAGAATGATTTCTGGAGGATCAGGTGACACTGAAGGCTGGAGTAATGATGCTGAAAATTCAGCATTGCATCACAAGAATAAATTGCATTTTAAAATATCTTACAATAGAAAATGGTTACTTTAAACTGTAATAATTTTTTTAAAATCAAATTCAAATAAATGCAGCATTGGTGATGAGACTTCTTTCAAAAATCTTACCAATCCCAAAGTTTTGAATGGCAGTGAAAGCACATTTCACACGGAGTACATGAGATTAAGATATGAGACAGTCACATCCAGTTAGGTCTAAAAAAGTCTGCAGTGTTTCTGACACCTGCTCTTGAAGCTCTTTGACTCTGGCCTCCAGCTGAAGGAGCTGCTGAAGCTGCTCGAGCTCGTGCTGTTCTTTCAGAGACATCTCCTGGTGTAGCTCAGTGATGACCAGGATCAGAGCCTCTCGCTCCTCCACCTACAACACATGACCGCTGCCATGTCAAAAGACTGTTATCCATGATTGTTATGTGTTGAGTTACATGGTTATTTGTGGGGGTATTAAATATTAAGAATGTCAGAAAACACTCGGACACAGTAAGATGTTGCAGGGACATGTTCAACCTAACAAGCATGCACACATGAGAAGTGTGTGAGTTGGGCAGAAATCACCTACAAATGTCCAAAGCTCAGGTGATGTCATGCCATCTAAATCAGATTTTGTGTGTTTACCATGACAGATGTCATAAAAACCAACCACAACATTTTTTTTCACTTATTTTTTATATATTTATTTTATTATTAAATAAAATAGTGTATAAAAAAAAATCCCTGCATCCCCCATGAGCACTCTTTATGTTTTGCTAACATGCACTACACACGCATTATTAAAAAAAAATTTTAAACATTCCTTAATACAGTACATTGGGCCCTTGCATCCTTGGTGAACACTCGACCAAACTTTTTAATGGTAGTTATTAGGACTGGGTGAAAGTAGTTGAATCTTCTGTTCATTCAGCTGCAGCGATAGCCATTTTCTGGGTTTCTTCTGCGAGGCGTATTTAGAGTTTCAGCGCGAGAGCGCCCTCTGGCCTTTGGATGGAGATTTACTGCTGATCACAGAACCGTGCTTCACTGAAAGATACGCATGACAATTGCAGCTTCTGTCGAATCGCGATCTCCATTCCATTTCGATTTATCATGCAGCCCTACTTCCAATGGACTTTCTCTAATCTGCCATCACTGAAGATCTACTGTAGGGCATTGGAGAGGAAAGCCCTGCTTGTATTTCCCGCATTTCCAACTCTTTAGAGTAACAACGAGAGCAGGAGGGCTCAGCAAAGACTGGGCCACAGCTGCTTTGATCACAGGAGCCCCCTTATACTAGCAGGCCAGCTTTCACACCATTTGTTTCCCTTTGACTGCATAATCAAGGCCAGCGTCTATTTTCTTTCTCAAATGTAGCACTGCAGTGCATACATTTCTTTGTTTCTTGTGATTACTAGTGGTACCGGGGTCTGGACTCCAAGGTCCCATTAATAGGGCTATTATGCACTCTTCATTATTTCTGACCTGATGCTAAGACCAGCCATCTTTGAACCACAGGTCTTAGCTAGTGCCCAGCACCTCTGAATTAGGAGATCCTTTGATCCTTCAACTCTTTGAAAAGACAACCAGGTAGGACTCCTAAATGAACCACTCCAGACTCTAAACTGCATCAAAAAACCCTGGATGCTCCACTGAAAGGAGAATGGTAAAGTGTGTGCAACTTAATTAACCACAACAAGCCATAAACACACACACAACCTCAATAGCATATTGAGAAAACGGGATTAAAAAGAGCCAAACATTGAAGAAATCAGGCCTTTCAGAATAAATGGAAATGTTTCATCTAGTAATTTTTGTAAAAGGTCCTTTGTTATCTCTAGAAACCCAGAAAAGCCTCTTACTGACTCTATAGCTTTTGAGGTTCAGATGTCGGCATTAGCATGCTAATTGCAACTTTGTCTGCGGAGCAAAAAGAAAAAAAATGGAGGGAGAGAGAAAAAAGTACTTTGCCCAGCTAGGGCCATGGGATTTCTTTTTAATCTGCTGTTACAAATAGCTTGTTTTGTACAGAATTACATTATGTCCTATGTATCTCACCTCCATTAAGGTAGAGAGAGTTTTGTGTCTGGCCAAATCACAATAGCTTTAGCAGAACAAGTTCGCAACATGATACTCCAGCCTTTAATTCATATAAAGTAATTTATGACATGAAATTTATGCATAGAGAACCTTGATTTTTTTATTTTATGTTATTTTATACAGTAAAATATGACATTAATAGAGTAGTACAGTGATATACTGTAGTTCATTAGCCAACCTGCAAGCTGTTTGTAGTTGTCACGAAACTTTGTTAATACATAAATATTAATACATAAATGGAAGTAGGGTTATACCTGACGGCCATCTTGATAACATCTG